ACTCAAAAAAATCAGTAGCCCTCCTATATACAATGGACAAAGAAGCTGAGAAGGCAATTAGAGATACATCACCCTTTACAATAGCCAAAAATGACATAAAATACCTTGAGGTAACAATAACCAAGCAAGTGAAGGACCTATATGACAAGAACTTAGCATGAAAGAATTTTTAAAGAATTATGGTGTTTTTTTCTTTTAAACATCTTTTAGTTCAACTGATTGAAAACAAAAATTTGAAGCTGATATATATATATTAATAAAGTCAGAATAATGGATGTGCCAAAAGCTCAAAAGTCTGTAGAGGGAGGGATGCTCAGTTGGAAATATGTTCCTAGCCAATTTGTGAGGATGCTGAGCTCTCATTAGCTCTTTTGGTTTGTAGTATGGTTGGTAGGCCTTCCAGGAAGGACCACCCACTTCCATCCAAAAGGAGCATAATTGCTGGATCATATGTTATGGCTTCAAATTGAAAATGAATTCAGAGTCTTTGTAATCCATATGCTGCCACCAAGTTCTGTTTCTCTTCATTTTGAATGGGAAATCACTTAAAAAATGTGTACAGGAAATGAGAATATTGGTGGGATGGTTGGTCAGGTCAAAGTTGACATTGTAATTTTTCCCTGTAGCTGATGAATAAATAAGCTGTTCGTCATTGATAGCTTCCGTGTCTTCTGTTAGAGTTAGATGAGTGGAGCAATGCTCAGAAAAGCTCAGAAAGCCCACCCACATGTTTCTAGGCAGGGATTCTGCATTGATTTTCTGTTACTGTGATAAAACACCATGACCAAAAGCAACTTATAAAAGGAAGAATTGATGTTGGTAACACTCGGGAGAGTGGCCCCTGCACCATTCCTGGGTAACTCAGTAGAGCTGGCCCTGAAGGTGTAGGTGCCAAAGATCGGACCCTGAGGATGTGAAAGCAGGAGAACTGGCCCCACCCCTTGCTCATTGCTCCAAGGGCAATGCAGGAGAGCTCACCCTGGTGGTGAGGACAAGGGAGAGCTGGCAGGCTGACCAACCCTGCAGTTACAGGACCAGAGCCAGGGTTATTAGTTGACCTATCTCTACATCCACCCTGTCCATGATATGCCTGAACATGTGAAGGGACCAGTCCTGCAGACCCAAAGCTGCAGGATTTCCACAATGCAGGACAACAACAGGAAAACCAAGAGGAGTTCCAGTGAGGTCCCCGCATCGATAGTGTAGCAGAAACCAGAGGCCTCAAAACAGACCAATGACTCTTTGTAATGAACACTTGCAAGTAAAAATATATGGCTCAAAGGGTTTACTGTGAGACTCACTGTGTCACACTACAGCTTCTATGACGAGATTAAATTTTTTTCCTCTTAAATTTTATTTGGGGGCATTGCAAGGACAGAGGGTAGGTATAAAGGTATGGGGAAATGAATAGGATGGAGATGCATGATGTATAAGACAATAAGAATAAATAAAAATTAAAAAAGCCCTTATAAGTGGAACTGGTGATAGCTTCGTGTTGAAGGAGAAATGTAAGCTACTCACCTCCTTTCATATTTCAGCAACTCAATTTCGCTTTCATCTGTAAATTTTAATTATCATTTCTAAAAAGGACTCATATCCTTTTGCTATCCCTGGGATAATAATTTCATTATATACTTTCCTGACAAATTATGACAGAGGCATCGTTGGCATTTTGATTGTACCAGTGCATCAAAGGCTAAGGGAAGTGGGGAAACAGTTTTTTTTTTTTCCTAGATTATAGCTAACACAGAAAAGAAGTCTGGAACTAAATCTACTAGTCATTTTGGAGGTAAAATAAGTTGTACTACATTTGTTCATGTGACTCATTGCCAGGAATATTTTTCCTTTTGGTCTTAAATTTGAAACACAAAAATAACCATAAATCAAATCCTCTTATTAGTATGCAAGGAAAAATGCAGAAGGTCTAGATAGCAGAATAGTATTTCTATATAGAATTCTAAAGGGATCTAATTCTAGAGATGTGAAATAAATCAGGACAAATTAATCAGCATATTCTCCTGCAGTTAAAGGTCAGTGTTCCAGGTAAGGGAATTCATTTCAGCAGTGTGTATTGAGGTAAGTGGGTAGATGAACATTGAAATGGGGGAGATGTTTTGTTTGATATGGGAAAATTTGTGTTTATATTCATAAGGTCTGAAGCATTGGAATGTGTGTTTTATTTTACTTTCCTCATTGAATCAGTTATGTTCATAAGTTTCATCCTGGGTGGATGGCCATAAGTTCCTTATCTCATTTTGAAATTCTTTAATTTTGTTTATGGTTTGAGTTAGTTCAGTTCTTGGCTGTTTGGTCCCATGTGCTGGGCACACCATTTTGATGGCAGAATTTTGTGGCCAGGGATATTCTTCCTTCAATATATGGTAACAAAGAAGCAGAGAGAAAGCTTATGTTAAGGACATTTTCTTTTCCTCTCTTGTTCCATCTAGATTCCCGGCCTAGGAAACGATGTCATTCGCATTCACTACCCTCTATTTGGTCCTCTCTCTCTGAAATTCCTTCACAGACACACCCAAAGGTGTGCCTTACAATCTCCTAGGCACTTTTCCTTAGAATCGAGTTGCTCCATCCTTTTAGGGTTATGCTCCTGTCCGTAGTTGACTTATCTTTCCTCCGTGGGTTTCCTGGTCCCTAGTGATTACAGCTAGATTGGTTCCAACCAGAAAGCAGATGTAGCTGCAATTTTCAAACAGCACTGCCACAAATCTGCACAAGAACCATCATGATGAAAGTTGTGAAGTTTTTAGTGAAACAACACAACCTCTGTTAGACACAACACAAAATCTGCATTGCTACCAACACTGAATTTCAGCAAAGCTGGGTTTGAGGCAGTGACTATTATTAAAAGTTACTATCTTTAAAATTGTAATGTGACAGGAAATGAAGATGACTATATCCTATTTAATAACGCAAGCTCTGAGGAGTTGCACCAAGTCCACTAACAATATGAATCCCATTTAGTTGTTTGCAGTTATTAGAACAAATGAAAAAATGTGTTTCTTTCAAGTTGAACATGATATTTTTCCAAAGGGCTTTCAGTTGTGTGGAGACCCACAGTAATGAGATCTGAGCTTGCATTACCCAGCTGCATCGGGGAATGATTGGACCATGGGCGTGGTTACTAGGTGTTTGGAAGGATCCACACTTGGCTGTGTGGTGTACTTTGATCTAGCAAGGGGGAGGTCTTTTGCCTTGCCCCTTGGCATTGCTATAAAAAGTCCTTTTGAAGAGCCAGAAGGGGCTGGTGGATTTTGATCTGGGTCCTCCCAAAGCTATCCTGTGTTTCTTATTCCCCTCTCCTCTTCATAGGGAACCCTTGAAGAGGTGGGGGCTGGCCTCCCACAAAGTTGTTAGGCTTGAAGAACTTATTAAGTGTTTAGATTTAATCACTTAACTAGTGGCTTTGATAGGCATTCATTTGGCCTCAGTTGATAGTAAAAAGGTCCCTTGAACTGAGGACTTGGAGATAGAAGGCTGGGAAAATAAATACAATATAGATAAGCTATGTTCTTTAGTATTTGGTTATTTTTTGTCAGCTTGACACAAGCCATGTCATTTCTGAAGAGGGAGTCTCAATTGAGAAAATACCTCCCCAAAACTAACATGTGCACCTGCCTGTGGAGCTTGTTCTTAATTAGGGACTGATGGGGGAAGTCTTAGCTCACTGTGGGCAGTGCCACCCATAGGCAGGTGGTCCTGAGCATTGTAAGAAAGCAGGCTGAGCAAGCCATGACGAGAAAGACAGTAAGCGGCACTCCTCTGTGGCTTCTTCTTCAGTTCCTGCCTTCAGGTTCTTGCCTGGAGTTCCTGCCTTGCATTCTCTCAATGGACTGGAATGCAGGATATGTAGGTCAAATACATCCTTGACTCCCCAAGTTGTTTTTGGTCATGCTGTTTTTTATCACAGTAATAGAAGTTCTCACCAAGACATTTAGGGTCCACGGGAAGATAGAAAAGTCTTCTACCTTGGAAAAAAATAAGTTTAACATTTGCCAACTATTTGGGGCTACCTTCTGCTTTCTCACAATTAGATAATCCCTTGCATTCTCCATCTGACAAAATGTCCCCCTTGAGGGAAGGAGATACAAGGTGGGGGCAAAAGGAGAATAAAATTATGTTAACAAACATACAGGTTGAGTATCATATTAGTGCTAAAATGAAATTTAGAGAAGTTGTTGTGAAATTCAGAGGAGCAGGTGGATCTGGGTGGACTGGCTAGAGCACATAGTGCTACGCTCTAGGATGAGGAAGTGAGTTTGGAGTTGTTCTAATGCTGATTACTAGACTGTCTCATTTGACAGAGCAACGAACATACTGAGAAAATGAATATGACCAGGCCTGCAGTTAGATCACGGCTGTCCTCAGTTCCTCAGGAGCATCCCTATATGCCATTGGGATGAGGCTGCTGGGGAGGCATGTAGGCGTTTGCTCTGACTTCCTGAGATGGCACAATCAAGGGCTGGAGTCT